TCTTTGGTAGTTCAGTAATGCAACTCACGGTAAAGTAAAAGTGAAAATAATGAGAAGAATATTCCACCATTACCGAAACATAGCAAACAAAAATCATCCTTTCCTTTCAAAAATTTAATATAGATTATATTACACCATTGATGCTAGATAAGTTTTAATCTATCCGCTCCAGCATACATAACAAATTCCAGGTAGTCTTTCAACAAAAAGCATTCATATAACTTCATAAAGACTTTTCAGAGTATGTTCATCCAAGGAGAGAAGTATTAAGACATTTCACATGATCTCATTAGACTTACAGTATAGTTCACATGCAGTTCTTTCAGATAAGCGGCCGATCTCCCAGAGCTTTTCCAGTCTGAACCCAAAAGCCGAGTATTTTAAGTTTTGCTTCAGCAAGGCTTAAAATGTAGCAGAGTGCACTCAACCATGGAGCATTAGGGGTGCTCAGAGCAGTACTCAAGTCACTGAGCTAACTAGGTACACGGAGAAACTACTGGAGGGAGGGAGGAGGGGAGGGAACATGATAATGTTAGGCCAGTATCACATAGATGAAGTCTCTAATCCAATTCATTATCCTGCACTGTAATATAAATCCTGAGAGAATAATTGAGTATTACTTGCATTAGGGAGGGGCCTCTACTCTCAGGACAGGAAGAACTCCCTCAACGTGCACCCTAATGAACGGATATGCATGGTCTTTCTATCTCTGAAACAAAGTAGAGGAGATGATTAAAGAGAGGCAGACAAAAAGAGGAGGCAAAGTAGATGATTGCCTCCTAGACAGAAACACTATGCCAGCTGCTGTGGGACTGAGACTTTGGGGGTAAAAATGTGGAAAAAAAAATCTGGAAGGAAGAGCAAAAGCAATAAATATATTTAAATAATAACAGATTTGCAACATGACTGTTGCATCAAACAGTACTGTGGGCTCAAGTGTGTTATATGTCAACAGAGCATATAAATGGTTGTGGTAAACTTAGGACCAGCATGAATCACATTGGCAAAAATATTTCTCTAGCTATTTGTACCTAATGGCATAGCCCTAGAGATTCAAGGGCAACTAGTCAACTAGTGAAGAAGAGGGAGTCTCTGGTGAGTCTCCCTTTTGGCTCACTTTCCCCCTCCCCCCCCCTTTGGCCTACAAGCAAAGATTTACAAGAACACTCAGGTTCTGATGAGTTCAGTTTAGCTTTAGATGAAAAACTCAAGGACATAGCCTCAATGAAAGAGAAATAGCAATGGAATGAACTTTCTAGGAGTGAGATCACTGGGAAGATAACACATGGCAAGTGAGTGATATACCCAGATATCCTTGAGGTAAGGAATAACATTTGAAATGATTAAATTCTTAGAAGTGAACAAATGTAGCAACCAAGTGCAGTGTAATCTTAATTTTAGAGAAGCATTGGGACAGATTTTGTGTTACTTAGCAACCAAGAAATTTTATACAGTGTGAAACCATAAAACATATACACTGTAAATATATACACTTTTGTTTTGTTGCTCATACTTGAATAGGAAGCTGTTTTGTCTCCATGAAGTACAGTCCATTAGATCCATACTAGACATTATCTACAGAGAACTCTATACCCTTTCTCATACTCCATATGATTCAATCTTTGGCTGAGCATTTCCTTACGTCATGTACCTTCCACAGAATAGCATCTTTAAGAGGTTTACCTAAAAAAAATCCCTTCAGGCTCAGTCATGTCATTGAGACTGAGTCCTGCAGGAAAATGTCCTTTTTTCCCTTTATTTATTGCCTTATAAGGTGCAGCCTGTCCCTATGGATCATATTTGGATCTGCTGGTGGGTGGGGCCTTGCTATCTTCTGGGTGTGTTGCTCCCCAGGGGACACATTAACAAGTATATACATGCTCTGGGAACTATAACTATTTCTGAATGACATACGAGGTCAGAGAATAGTATAAAACACTCCTCACAAGTCCAGAAAAAAAGATATCAAAATATCACTCAAGCTCTTCCTGGCCAACAAAAATACATCAGCGACCAGTTCCTGGCTGGTGCTCCTCTGAAAGCAAACCAGGGCTTAAAATGAACTGACTTAATGTTTACTTAAGCCTTGTGCTATGTCTCTGCATGAACTGGATTTCAGTAGCCCAAGAGAATACTACAGACGGCAGACCTCTCAAGCACCAGAAGCAGTTCAACACAGGTTTAGTCTTCCCGGGGTTTAATCACCGTTTCTTTCTCTGGAGGCTTCTGGGATCACAACCAGCATCCCCCCCTCCTCCCCTTCCTGTTCACATAGCTCACACACAGAGTTAAAGTAAACTCTTTGTTTGAACGCTAAGATCTTTGGGGTAGAGGCTGACATTTTATGATCTGGGCGTGAAGAGTCTACTACAAAATAGGGCCCTGATCCTTTATTGGGACCTCTAGGCAATGCTGCAAGACAAGCACTAATTACAGAGGTGTCACCTTGTTATCTGAGCAAATCATTCCTAACTCCTTCATTTTCGTTCTGGCTCTTGCTCCAACTACTTTTGTTGCCTTGACTAAGCCATTTAACTCAGTTTTATGTCCTCCTCCTGTAAATATGGTATTTACTTCTCCAACGTAGTTAAGGGTCATTACTCTTAGTGAAAATGCAGAGTGGGTGGTAGGGCGGGGAAGGAAAGATAATGCTTGCTCTCTTCGTGCTTCCCCCTTTGCTGGGTATTTCTTCTCTTACAACTGAGTATCTCAAAGAGAGAGGCAAGCACTAGACCTAAAAAATAAGTAGCAGAGTAAATTGCACATACATACATAGACATACAAAAGGACACGTGTGTCCTTTCTGGTCCCTCTTTAAAGAAAGGCACACTAAGGCAAGGTAGACTAATGAGCCTCTTAAGGTCTGACTTCACATCTACTGCTCTACTAAACATAACTAAGGATTTTAAAGTCATTTGACTTCCTATTCAAGGTTTACAAATGAGTTGGCAAAGATACAATCATAATAAAAAAATACTATTTCACAGTGTTTCTATTGTAATGTGAGGCCCATTTGCTAAGACTATAAGCAAAGTTTGAATTCTCAAAGGTCAGCATTGAAAATGAACATTAAATATAGAGAAATTTACAATATTTGAACAGGTAATAACAAAAGCCGTAAAATAATTATGTATTTTGCTTTGTTCTTGTCACCTCACCCTACCCTCGCATTTCTACAATAACCAACCCCCCTTCCCATTTCTATAGTTATAAAACTTTCATCCACTTTTTGTTTACTTTGCCCTGACAACACTTCTATCTGCAAAGGCATTAATTTGAGGGGGCAATCAAATGAAAGTAAAATGGTAAATGTTCCCTGTGATGTTGCCATCAATATTTCATTTTTTATTTGCTATTTAAAGCTTCGGATTATGACTGTTTCTCAAGGAACACAATAGATATCAATGAATCTAATCAGATTGATGCAATTATTTTAAATGTCAAAGAGAAACAGATTCACAGGATGGAATGGAACCGCATTTTGTGATTTAACATCACTATTCAGACATTTGATGGCAATAGCAAAACTTATCATTTAACAGGAATAAACATTCAACTTTGTGTAAAAATCAGTTTGATAAAAAATAAGCTCATGTACACCTTCCTAGATGTTTTGAACACTGGTTAGCTATATAAGAAATACTTGCATTTCCAAACTCATTAGCAAAATATACTTATATAAGCAGTAACCTACAGTATTAGTGATTCTAAAGTAGCTCCATATTTTAAAACATTGACTAAATGTAGTTGTTCTGCTTTTTATTTCTTATAATGTATTAAAATATAATAAATATATATATAAAGTATTAAATTACCGTAAAATATCTAAACAGTCACACCTCCAAAACAACTTTCAGTGTATCAAATGAAAGAAAGAAGAAAATATCAAAGCAAAAATTGGCACTTGGATCAAAATAGGACATATCTACACATGTGTTTAGGGTCCAATGCGGTTCCTTCTGAAAAAAAAAAAAAAAAAAAGTGGTCCCTTGAGTACCCTTAAATACAAACCAGTTTTCACTGGATAGCAGGAGTTAAAATGGGGAAGAGATTACAACTGATCCATGATCTTATCACTAAGCCAAAAAGTCGATGATACGTTTCTGTAAATCTTACCTAAACGGGTCGAGCCACTGTAAATTCCATAGAGACCAAAGCAGCGTGTTCACACCAACAAAATGTAGCCCCCCCCCCCCTTAGAAAAATTACATACTTCCCCCCGAAGCTTTTTTTTTTTTTTTTTTTTTTTTTTTTGTGCTTTTTTTCCACAATTCACGTGGATGGCATGCGGGAGAATGAACAGTGAGGGGCAAAGTCCTTACAAAGAAAATTTGCAAGGAGCCAACCTCGGCACAGCTGTCCACTGGCAAAAAAAAAGCACCGAAGCTTAGCTCGGTTTATGTGTAACCAAAAAGTTTCCTTGTCCCCTTTCTCCCCCCCCGCCCCCCCCAACTCTCCAGTCTGGGTGCGCACCTTGGTCTTCCCAGACTTGCAGCTACGGGCTGATTCCTCCCAGTTGGAGCTCTTCCATCCTGGGAAATCTGGGAAAAGCAGAGCACGGAGGGAGCCCGAGTGGCCGCAACCCGCCCGTGAGGGGGGAGCACCCCATCTGTGCCCCTGGACACTTACCAAGCTCCTCTTCTCAGCGCCGTACTAGTCCCAGCTCGTTAAAACGAGGGACTTCAACGGCTTTGGACGCGGAGGGGTCGAGGGGGAGGTTCAAAGTTAGGGAGAGCGATATCCTCCCCGCTACAACTTTTGCCTAGGACTTAAAGGGGCCGGAGCGGAGGCAGGTGGAGGAGAGGGAGAGAGTTGGGGGAAGTGCCCCTGCCCCCTCACTGCCTCCGACCCCAGGTGAGCCCCAAAGACACGGCTCATGGGAGCTGCGGGGTCCCAAAACAACATCCTTCCCAGAACCGGAAAAAAAAAAAAAAAAGTATAAAAGAAATCCATCCCTTAACTCCCCTTCTCCCTCTTCCTCCACGTACAAACGGACTTACCTGTTTTTATGCCGGGCTTTTAACAAATTCCTTCCAAAGGGAGCCATGATCCCAGCAGCAAAAGCATAACATCAGCGATCCCCAAGCAGTTCAAGGGTGTTCCCTTCTCCCCTATTTTTTTCCCTGAGCGCCTTCCAGCTTGTTAATAGTCACTGAGCGTAGCGATGAGCTGGAAGTTGTGTAATTTACTGCTAACTTTGAACTCCAGCTTGTTGCTGCTGCTGCTGCTGCACCTTTGGAGTCCTGCCCAGCTGCAATCTTGAAGGAGGCGTTTAGGAGCAGGAAAAAGAAAGCGGGGAAAGGAGGGGGGTAACTAACCCCACACTTGCTCCTGTGATGTGAAGTTATGTACAGGACTTGCAAAACTTCCAGCCTCATCACCCTCAGGGCAGCCACCAGCCAGCAAATGGGAAAGAAGGGGTTTTGCTCTGCTGGGGAACTCTTGGAGGGAAAAAAAAAAAAAAAAAGGGCATTGAAAACTTTCCCTGGGAGGTTCCAGCCACTTCAGGTCAAGTCGCTCAGCTAAAAAGCAGTGTTAATGAAGGGCAAGTTGTCACACCAGTTCTTTGTACATAATAACCTGCCTTTCAGATCCAGGAGCTGTATGGCTTTGCGAGATATTGGGACAAGTAATGGGAATATGAAGGGACAAAGTCAGACGACTGTGGTCCCTTTGCCCTCCCTGGGATTTTTAAGTAAACATGTCCTATTTGCAAGAGTCCTTTGCAGACCTTGGTGTGACTGAAGGTACCTCTGAAAACCTATTTAACGTGGCCCAGCAGAGGAGTGAGGCAGCAAGCAGAGGCTCAGTTCGTTCTGGGACGTTGCAGGATTTTTATTATTATTATGATTATTGTTTTAAGCTGACTTTGCCAACAGGGAAATGAATGCACATTAAAGTTCCTGTTTACTAAAAACCCCTGGGAATTAGAGATTTGTAATAAAGCTTCAGAAGGGATTTTTGTTTTTCTTTTCTTTCCCCTTTCTAAGCTCAGCAGCTTTGGTGCAGAGCGCGGGAAAGAGGACCCACTGTGCTGCAAAGTCCAGTGCTGGTGGGTGAGGGTCCCGGGCCCGGAGGAAGCTTCCAGCACAGCTCGTCCTGGCCCTCTGCTCTACGCACTTATTTTTAACAGGCTTATATTAGACGTAAATCACTTTTTTTTTTTTTTTCTCTTCTTTGCTTGCTTTTGTTTCCTGCCTTTTACAGAGTAAACTCGAGGTGATGCCCCAAGGTGCAGCACAACAGGGAATTGTTTCATCAAGCAGGAGAGATCATAGGGCTCTATAAGACGTGGGCTTGTCTGAAGGAGGCTTCTGCTTTTTCTAAGTTTCCCAGTTCCTCCCTCAATCAAGACAGTCACAACAACATAAAGAAAACAAAGTAAGGGCCTATTCCATGGGTTACCTATTACTGGCAGCTCTGGGCATACCCCACATGTTTTCAGTTCAGTCCCATGCACTAAATTTGCTGAGTTGTGACTACGAAGAGAGGGACTGGAGCTTTGTTTGGGTAATCACTCAAGTAACAGAAAGGTAGAGAAGCTAAACAAAACAACTTCCCTGCTGCCAGGGGACATTTTAAGAGGCAGTCTGGTTCTGACATTATGAACATGATCCCAAATACATTAAGTTAATTTTCTCATATTTAGAGCATTTCTGAAGGCATTTTTTTTCCATTCCCTGAAGGAATTCAGAGCATTAAGTTAATTTTCTCATATTTAGAGGACAGCATTTTTTTTCCATTCCCTAAGACATATTAAAACCATATTCAACACAAAATTCTGATCAGTATAAGTTTTCCTGGAGATAAAAATAATATTCAAGCAACCATTTTTATTGGTAGAGGTAGAATTAAATAGCTTTGTCTGCAGAATAATATTCAATTCTCCTTATTAAAAGAATAAATGGGAACCTGGCAACATCTGTAGCTGTTCTTATGCTCCTGAATAGTCATCTCACAATTTTAATTTTTCAAATATTAAAATGCCATGGAAATTGTTTCCCTTTTACTATCAAATGCAAGTAATTTTAAACTAAAGATATGTAATGTGGGAACTGGGTACCTCTACACATGTAAATCAGAATGCTGCTATTTCTGTGTAGCTATGCAACGAGTTGTAGGAAAGACTCCAGCATTAATATTCAGACATTTTCCCCACAGCTGAAGAAGAAAAGGCAGCTTTCAGGCTATGCACTTTCACAATTAGACTAACCAAATACAGGAAGAAAGTAGGTGGGAGTATGATAAAGCCTTACAAAATAATAAAGCAGAGAATCCTGAGGAACAAGAATTGTTCTTCTTTAGTAGAAACAAGAAAAAGGACATTTAGCAGCCAAAAAGAAGTGAAGATGTGTCATTTCCCACTGTATTCAAGTAATTTACAGGGCTCAGTCAAAAATATAGAGGGCAGAAATGCTTGTGAGTTTATATAAATACATGCATGAAAACAAAATATAAATGGATATTTACTCTTAGTAACAAAAGGGACATGACCCTCCAGTCTTCAGCACATAAACCAGTCTCTGAATATGGGGAGTTAGTAGAGAAACATTTCAGAGAGACAGTTAATTTTGCAGGCAGTGTTGACACAACAGTTCACTTAGCTTACCCTTAAACTTCCAAAACGCCTCGAACTACCTGTATCTGCATGTACATGTCTTGAGCTTTCTTTAAACTCAAGATCTGATCTTCCAGGAATATTAGGCCAACATTCCAAACCGGGGCCCTGGCACTTTCCACTGTGCCATGTGGACAGGAAAAGCAGCCAAGACTCAAATCGAGCGGGATCAGCTCCTAGTAGTGGTTGTGCACATCAAATTCAGAAAGGTGAATAGCTGGTCCTGTGTTGGGAGGCCTAGCCAAATCACCCTCATGCCCTTCTTTCCCATAGAAGAAGCAATGAAAGAAGGACAGATAGTTCTGTTCACAGAGCTTTTTTTTTTTTTTTTTTGGGGCGGGGGGGCAGAGTTGAAAATACTGGATCAAATTTGCACATCTGAGCTTGAGATGATCAGAAAGGATTCTCAACAATTTACCATGTTATTTGAAGTAGAAAGGAAATGAACTATAAGTACCTGAGTAGTACCTGCGATATGGACAGGTTTAATGAACAGTAAATCTGAGTGCGTATCTTTGGTTGGTGCTTAATCAGAAAATTTAAGATTTGAATCGAAATATTTTCCTTTGCCATCTCCCGAAACAGCTCACACGGAGCACTGTGTACATCCCCATGGCAAAAATACTGCATCACAGGTATGTGTAATGTAGTTTTAAGTTGCAGCTATCCAAGGGTATAGTTTCAGAGGATGCAAAGAGTCAGAAGACTGCTTATGCACAACAAAAATATTTATCCTGGCCTTCAATCCCTGCAATTTCTTTCCTCCTAACCAGAACATAGCCCCATTGCTCATCTTATACAGTCTCCAGGATGTCATCTGATCCCATCATAAGCTGACATAACTCGATCGGGTTCCAACCCAGTGGCAAAAGTTTGTTCCGTCTCTGTTTTGAACAGATTACTGAGGTGAATTTGCCTACTTTGGGATCAGACAAGATCAGTCAGACAGGGTGATCCTCAGAGGTTGCTGCGTGGGAGGAGATGAACTAGAAGCAGAGCTGAAAGCATGAAAGAGGAAGCAAAGTGGGAAAAAAAAAGAAACAGAGGAAGGAAAAGGAGCAAGACCTTCTCATTTGGTTGTGTGGTAGGACAGCTCTACAACCCCATAAAGCCATATCTGTAGAGGAGATTTATATTAAATGACTGGAGTTGCTTTGATGACTGTATTTAAAAGTAGAGTGGTCCCAATCCTCTTTCTGCTTACCTTGTACCAGATCTGGATCTCACCAGGCCTTATGCTTACATCATTCAAGCTATTGAACTGACATGGCATGCAGGAAAGTGAATAAATAGGATTTTGCTTCTCTAACTAGTTAAATTGGCTTGTGGAGTTGTCAGAGAAGCAGCAGGAACAGCATGAGACAGGACTATATGGTCAAGAGTATTGGCAGACATGTGGGAGAAGGACCTCTCGTTTGAGCAAATGACCCATTCCTTGCACTGCACCTCAGTTGCTTCTGGTACTTAACGGTCTCATTTTAAACCTTCAGAAATATTTTTTTATCAGCATTGAGTGCAGACAAGCCTGTAAGACACCAGACTAAATGGTTCAACAGGATAAGAGGGAAAGGTAAATGCCTGGGTTAAAGTTGGTTAAGCAGCAAGAAATGGTGTGACCCAGAGAGCTCTAGAGGATTTGGGCTGCTGAACTTACTTGCCTGAGAAGATTTGCAAAAGGGACTTGGAAGATTGGTGACTGATGAATAGAGAGCAGGTAAAGGTCATGTTGGTAAGTGCAGAGTAATATGCTCGGAAGAAAGTCTAAAGAAACCCTTAATTTATCTGTCATGTCTCAGGAAAATAAATTGTGTGGTGTAGTTCACTCAAAGCCTCAGGTCAGTGCTCTGTACTAGTAAAAGACAAAAAGGAAAAAGAAAGAAAATTAACAGTTATTCAGTAGAGAGAGCAAATCTAAAAAGGATACTGTAGAAACAAAAAAAAAGACAAAGACAAAAAACAGCAAATGGCAAGGAAAGAGTAATTTAATATACAGAATAGCATAATATATGAGGAGACATGATGTTGCAGAGATAAAGCTCTTCAATACGAAACAGATGCATATCTGATTATTATGAGAGGCCTATAGTCATATATATCATGAACAAAAACAGGAAACAATGATTTTTTCTCACAGTATAAGGGCCTGCTGAATGAAATAACCAAACAGAAAGGTTAAAATAAACAAAACAAATGATTTTGTAGTTGCAATTGAATTACAGAACTGCCTTCTGACTGCAAAATGCCATTGGGAACAAAAGTGTGAGTGAATTTAAAATGAGGTTAGACAAAATGATGGCCAGTATGGGCACTAGAGGTCATTAAATATCACTTGGTTATTTGATCCTTGTTTTGGTTTAGCCATTACCCAAATCCCTTTCTGTTCCCTTTTTCCCTCCTCTAGCACTCACTGCTCTCTGGCATAGCCCTAAGTGTGACGTACTGTGACTGTTGTAAGGCAGTGAAAGAACATCCTTCTACCTCTTGCAGGGACTATTAAATATAATAGTCCAAATAAACCTTCAGGTCTGAAAATCCTTGAATTGCTGATTCTACATTGATGGCAGTTAAAAGACCACCTCATACTTGCCTTGTTTTTATACTGCTCCCTAAACATCTGCTGCTGCCCACTGTCAGACACAGGATACGATGCCATCAAGGCATTTGG